ATATTTTAAAATTTTAAAAAAATTACAATTTAAGTATTTTAAATCATTGCTGTTATAATTGTAATTTAAAAAAATATTATAATCTGTCTATTTCAAAACCTTGCTGTTATAGATTTTTGAAAATGTTGTTATATTCATAATTAATCTTATTTTGTGTTGTCTGTATTTATTATATAAAAAGCTTCAAAAATTTAAAGTTTTTTATTTTTTTATTTTCGTAGTGGAGTATGTAATTTATTGTCAATTAATATTTCTCCAGATCATGAATGTGGACAGGAATGTTCCTTTAAATTCACCCCTGAAGATGTTCGTGGATAATACTGAAAGCACTTGGTAAAATAAAAAATATTTGAAAGAAAAATTTGAAATTTTTCTTTCAAATACTTTTTATTTTACCAAGTTTTCTACAGCCCCCAAGAAATTAATTCGTGGATTTGAAAGGATTAAAAGTAAAATAAACAGGCATAATACGTCTAAATTATTTAACCGAACATGCTTGAATATATATATATATATATATATATATATATATATATATCAACACACTGTGTTACTGATCTAGCGAGACAAGCTTGTCAACTATTATACTAAGTTTTAGCGCAAAAATAATTTGCTCTATGTCTGCTCTCATTATGTTCAGATAAAGAATCAGAAAGAAGAGTTTATGTAATAGTAATAAAAGGAAATAATAATAATAATAAGAAGAAGAAGAAGAAGTAGAAGAAGAAAAAGAAGAAGAAACTTAATAAAACTGCTTCTCTGTTACGTTCGCTCCAGCCCCTCAACTTCCGGCGTCTTACTCTCTGGGTTGAGGTGTCTACTCGGTCCTAACCGAAATTAAGGGAGTGGCCGTAGATTATTCAACCGGTCCACTGGTTAAATCCTGCTTCTTGCCCACGTTGTGATTGGTTTCATCCGGAAAGCAGATGTGATGTCCGTCCATTCACAGTCGACTGAAGATGTAGACAGGGGTGTCTGCGGTAAGAAATTTAGAATGCAGCAAAAAAAAAAAAATTAATATCTGCAGAAATCCGGACAAACATCGATTCAATGGTTGAATTGTTAATGTCTTTTTTATAGCAGAAAAGAATAGTAGAGAAAAGAAACGGCTTACAGAAAAGAAAAGTATTTAACGTAAAAGCTCATACACTGGATTCTAGACACAGAGAGAGAGAGTATATGTGATTATCTTGTTGTTAAATCGTCTCAGAACGATATATGACTCTTGCGATGGAGGGATAAAGATTTCTGTGCGGGGCTTAGTTATAGTGGCGTTCCTCTTCCCAACGATTGCCCGGGCCAATTCTCTCTTCTCTCTTCAAGAATTTTCTCCAGATCCAATGGGTACAACTTCTGCCCTAGATTAGATTTCCCCATCAGTAAAAAAATGCTCTGATTTAATTTCGCTATTCAAATCTACTTCAATTTCACTAAAAAAACATAGGTGTGTGTGTGTGTTTCCAAGACTCTCTCTCTCTCTCTCTCTCTCTCTCTCTCTCTCTGTCACACTTCATCAATTTTGTTTAAAAGAACATGCATTAAAGCTGGATTGCTACCAAGCACACACAGAGATGTGGGCATGCGCATGTGTAAGGGTGTCCTCAGAAATGTATTCAGTTTTTGACTCCCTATAAAACTCTTGAAGTTTTTTCGTTTTTTTTTTTTTTTTTTTTTTATCCCAGATCTTTGCATTTCATTTCATTTAGTACTAGACTAGAAGCCACTCTTCGGGCGGACTTCTTTAGGCTAGCTCCCGTGAAGGATTTTTGAGCCTTCGGCCTTTTACCTTCAGCGTTCAATGTACGTAAAAGTTATAAGAATTTAGAAATAATAACATTATTTTATCTTCATTTGATACCTTACTTATGCATAATCATTCTTCGTTTACGCAACCGATCTCTGTAGTTTGTTTACATTTATTTTGTACGCAGTTTATGTTTTCTTTTAAAAATCACCATTAGACATTAGAGAAACAGAACTATGTGATATTTCGAATGCGCCACAGTATGCATGCTAGATATATAAAAACAACAAAAACATATCAGCGCTTAATCTTAATTATTCTTTAGTTAGACGATATCGATTGTAACTGCAACGAAAAGCGAAATTAAAGTGAAACCTTTAATAAAGAATTGTATTTTTTAAACTTTTCATTCTGTTCAATATTTAAATTTAACTTTAAATGATTTATTTATTTAATTTTTAAATGCTTTATAATGTAGAGCGAATCTCTTCTCTGTGTCTGTGTCATCTTTGATGCTTTATTTTAAGTCCTTCATAGATAAATGCGAACACATTTATTTAAACGCTAGATCAATCAAGTGTCAACATTTTAGGGAGATTACGATGGTCACTAAATGTCCTAAGCGTCACCCAGACAGAAGAGCCATAGCAGAACATTTTTTGCTGTGGCATCACACTGCCACTTCTTATGAAAGTAGAATAGCGAATTCAGATTTCCGTCTAAATTTTTGTACAGGTGAGGCTCATATACAGGTGAGAGATGTGCGACAAATCTAAAAATGAACAAAACTAAGGCCCGCGAAGTCATAAATTATCTGCAAAAGAAAAGTATGACACCCAAGGAAATCCTGAGGACATGGTACACTTGCTGAGAAGTGGGCTATGGAATGCAAGCTAGGCAGGGACAGCATACAAGATGGTCCTCGATTAGGTTGCCCAAATGCTTCAATCACTGGTGAAAAAGTTGATGCCATCCACCGTGTGGTTTTTTGGATGACAGTCGTCTTACTTAGCAGATAGCTAAGTCCATCCGTACTAGTTCTGGTTCGGTCCATCATGTTTTAACTTAGATCTTGGGAATGAGCAAGTTGTTGACAAGATAACCCCTAAGAATTCTGACACCAGAGCAGAAGCTGAAAAAGGTTAACATTTCCAGGACACCTTTGACTCGCTTCGAACCTAACCCTGAGAATTTCCAGCGCAAATTAGTAGCTCAAGAAGAAACCTGGGTTCACCACTTCGAACCTGAGTCAATGATCCAAAGCAAATAGTGGAAACACTCTGGTTCTCCACCTGCAAAGAAATTCAAGCAGGCATTGTCTGTTGGCAAGGTGACGGCTTCTGTTTTTATGGTATCCTGAAGGCAGACTGGAACATCACTATTGTCTTTTCTAAACTGGCCGTGTCGGGTCGGGAAGTAGACATAGTCCTATGTACCGAACAAATAGACATAAAAGTTTGTTACCTTTTTCTTTGATACTTTGGACTTTTTGAGTTTTCATTTTATTTTCTTTTATACATAATTGTGTGTTATCACCCCCGTTGAACTCAGCTTGCATTACGGCCCCAACCCCTGTTTGATCTCGTCTGTCTAAGATCAATTCACAACGTGGGTAGACAGACTGGGGATCAGTGCAGTTACCCTGGTAACCAGGCGTTGGAAGCAGGTTGAGAACGGCGAGGCTGGTATCAATCTAACCAGATTCCTACCCGGATCATAAAAGGGTTAGAACGTCACGTTTGGAGCAGCGAGGAGCGAACAGCTGACGCCGCGGCGAAGACGTCACAATTGGTGCTGTTAGGGACGTCACAACTGGCGCCGTGGTAGATCAGGATAGAACGACACAGTCGACGCTGCGACCGGAGGACGACGTCACAATTGGCGCCGTGACCTGGACATGAGAGCCTGGGGCAGCCCCGTGACGTCACATTGCTAACCATTACATTTGCCCCATCTGACATCCTCACGTTTCCTAGACTTGAATGTTACCTGCGTGGTCGCCATTTTGGAAACAACGATGATATATGCGTTGTGGAGCAGTTTTTCGAAGACAAGGACACCATCTTTTTTCATGATGGGATGTCACTTCTTAAGTATCGTTGAACCAAATGCATTGATATCAAGGGTGACTATACTGAAAAGCTGTCTTGATTCTCCAACTTTTGGGTGAGGCTTAGAACTATTTGAACGACCATCGTAACTTTAAGAGACTTACGAATATCACTCTTGAGATGTTCATGTTCAACATGATTCTGTTTAAATTGCTCTTCTCTGGGATAAACCATCTAGAGATATGTTTCGCTAGTCATTTTGTAAATTGTCGCTTTCTAGTGTTTTCTTAATGCAAACTTGATACTTAAGTTTCGCTTTTTGCGCTGTCTTTTTCTTGATGTTTACGCGTTAAACGAGCATCACCAACGCGGACTTATTGATGTAATTTGTTTTTGTCGGTCTCGAGACTAGCAGTAACTTTTGAAACAAACAAGTGATTTACATACATTTCCACGGGCATTTCATGGTCCTCGTCACGGGACCCGGTGCACTTCAGATGACTTGTCAGTCCAGTCGGCTTTTGCAGACATTTCTACACTCCTCGCATGTCAGATGAATATCATCAAGGAATATCTTATGTTTGATTAATGTCCTTTCAGGTCTGACTTGTGTCGGAAAGACATGGCCACAAGACAAACTGAGACACCTGTGGATCGATATTATCAAAAAATTTTCTGGATTTTCACTTTGTTTTATCCCAGATATTCTCAACGTCTTCAAAGCTAAGGGGTCAACTATGAACAATCTCTCCCCACCTTTCTAACTACGAGGGTTACACTCTACCATTTCTCAGATGGGACCGCCAATTTTACGCAGGACTAGTGAATCCTCGACACAATCTTTGAATCATTTCTTCGGTATATGCTGTAGACGAAAGCCAAGAGATACGTACCTGTAGAGCAGCCGCTTAGAAATGCGGTCGCCACGAAGCCGTATGATGTGATTGATTTGTTTCTTTTTACGGTTTATCAACCCTTTCCAGGTCACTTAAAGCCAGAAAATATTTTTAGATTGTAAAAATTTTTTTGAGATAACAACGATTTACTAATACGATTCTTACTAATTAACCCATATCTAGGGGAGAACAACTAGATTCATACCTTTCCCAGGGGTTCTTGCGCGTAAGTGAATATAACAAAACCAACTGGAATGGAACCCTGCTCTCCGATTTCCGATTCTGAGCCGTTATACCTTACACTACCTGAAGAGGTTGCCCATCTAGGTACTGACCGGGCTCGACGTTGCTTAACTTCGATGATTTTACGAGAACCGGTGTTTCATCGTGATATGGCCGTAGGCGCCGTATAATGCGACACACCCAGCGAAGGTAATGTCGCTGAATGTGGATTTCGATGCTGATAGCATTCGTTTTCTATTTTTGAAGTATGGGTAATCCAGTGGCTACGTTGAATTGAACTTAAGCATCGTTGACGCAAGCGCTCGAGATGTTTCAGATACTTCCGGTAGACCGTCCATCTTTCTTATATGTGTACTTGTGATATGCTATCATACATGCGTTGTACACTTAGAGTTCGTTACTCTTTATCAGTCACCACTCGCCGCCTTTCAAGGCAGAGAAAGCGCCCATTGCTTTTTGCAAGCGTATTGTTATCTCATTCTCAAGCGAATAAAAGTGGTTAATAGTGACTCCCAAGTCCGTAAAGCTATTAACAAACTTCTCTCCCTTGCTATCGACGGCCTAGCATACCTGAGGCAGACTGGAACATCACTATTGTCTTTTCTAAACTAGCCGTGAGGCCGAAGGCCATGCATGCTTCAGATAGCTTATCCATAAAGTACTGCATATAAGTTTCTATTTGTATAGCTTGGTCAAAGTCATCCGCACACGAGAGAGTATGAACACGCGACAGGAGAACTTGCGCAGGGAAGAAACATATTTTTTAAAAATCATTTCACTAAAAGCAATCTAGTCTTTACACCATTTTCCCAATGTTCCGTATGTATACTACCAATATTGACACTAATTTCTATATCATCATTGAAGGACCTGTTTCAGTTACACAAAATGATAAGGAAATGTCTCTCTGTTAAAAGTTCTTGAGGGCATTCCTAAAATCAACGAAGAGTTGGCACAGGCCTTGTTATAGTTCGTAGCATTTCTCCTGTAGCTAGTATGATGGTTTGGTTTGTTTTACAGCATTTCAACCTCAAAGGTTTATTTAATACTGACAAGATATTTAGGACAGTTTCGTATGAATAGAATATGTATTCTTTGGTTTATTTTGGTTTGTTTCATTTTGTTTTTACGGCATATTAACCTCAATGGGTTATTTAATGTTGTTTTTTTTATTGTTGGTAATATTTTTTCAAAAAATATATTACTGGTAATATATATATTTTTAAATGTATTATAGGTTATATTTTTTTCAAAAATTTATTACAGGTAATATTTTTAAAAATGTATTACAGGTAATATTTTTTCAAAAATGGATTATAGGTAATATTTTTTCGAAAATGTATTATAGGTAATATTTTTTGAAAAAAAAATGCATTACAGGTAATATTTTTTAAAAACTGTATTACAGATAATATTTTTTTCAAAAGTGTATTACAGGTAATATTTTTTCAAAAATGTATTAAAGGTAATATATTTTTCCAAAAATGTACTGCTGGTAATATATTTTTTCAAAAATGTATTACAGGTAATATTTTTTTTCAAAAATGTATTACTGGTAATATTTTTTTTCAAATATGTATTACAAGTAATATTTTTTTAAAAATGTATTAGAGGTAATTTGTTTTTTTCAAAAATGACTTACAGGTAAAATGTTTTCAAAAATGTATAGCTGTTAACAATGTATTGCTGGTAATGATTTTTTCCTTCAAAAATGTATTTCTGGTATTAAAACATAATTTTACACTTTCATAGCATTTTGACCACAGTTTGGGATTAACTATTTGTCCATATCTGGGACCCTAATAGGTGCTAACACCCCGGGTCAGGGTGAACCTGGGAACACCATTAATTAAGAGGTGGTTCCACGCTCCTCAAAACCTCCCAATCAGAAGCCTTGCTCTCAGATGTAGTATATCATCTTACAAAGGACGCACATTTAGTTTACCGTTTTACCCAGAAGGCCTCTGCGGAATGTATGTAAATTCTTCCGCTGTTCTGATGCAAAACGAACTCTGACTTTTATATGATTGTATTCTCGATTTCAAATTAAATAAACTAAAAGTTATTTCCTCTTATTGGCGATTTTGTTTATCGGCGTAAGAAATTTGTCGCCTTCTTTTGCCCACAAAGGTGTTATTCTGGCTGTTTTTAGGTCGAAAGCTTGCTTCATCAAACTATAGAATTCCTTACTGTTCTTCCTGTTAGCGGCACTCTACATTTCTGCAGTAAGTTTGGACAGCCAGGTAACCTGCGTTGAACACCAGACGTTGCTCGTTTTATTGACACACTAAGTTGAAGATTTTGATCTTAGGAAACTCTTCTATCAGAATCATACAGCTAAGTAGACCAACAGAACACTTTCAAAGGCCGCCAGTGTGTAGCTTAGCAGTTACGTACTTCCTGCTGGACTTCAAAGAATTAAGAAAAATCATCAATCTCTATCTATAAAAGGCAGGATGTGTGTGTGTGTGTGTGTGTGTGTGTGTGTGTGTGTGTGTGTGTGTGTGTGTGTAAGTAACGAATGCACGGCCGCAATTTTCGACAGATTTCCACCAAAATTTACATGCACATGCTCCAAGTTAGTGGGAAGGCCAAGACCGACTTTTCATTTCCCAATTCCCATCGTTGGTGGAAATAATCGATTTTTTCATGCTCCTACGACAGTTTTCATGTAATTTGCGGCCATTTTCTACTGGCCAGAGTGAGAGCCTATAGCTGACTGCCACGAATAGGCAGGAAGATTCTATTGGCCAGTGTGAGAGCCAACAGCTGTCTGACACGCATGTTAACTAGCATGCTAGCATGCAAAAAAAAAAAAATCGATAACTGCATTCGTCAAAAAAAAAATTTAAATCTGATGGCACTTTACTCCAATTGGCTCATTCGTTTTGGCCAGAGTGAGAGCCAACAGTGACTGAAAAAATGCTAATGCAAAAAAAAATCGATAGCTGCATTCGTCACTTTAAATCTGCATGGCACTTTACTCCAATTGGCTCATTTGCTTGCTTAAACTCAACGTTGATTCTGATTCCGCAGAACTGGGTTGGGTGTGAAAAAAGTTTGTTGTTAACATTCTTTTTTCATTCGATTTTTTCCAGTTACGAGTACTTTTTAAAGCTGATCGTTTTGCGTTCATTTTGTTTAGTTCTTTTTTTTCGTAACAGATTTAATGTTTAGTATAGAGCTTAGAAAAAATCGCAGTGTGAGATAGGCAAGAAGTAAGGCATGTGGCAACATCAGCACGGAAAATGGCACTCCTTTAAAGGCAAGGAAAGGCAAAAATATTTTAAGTCAAGTGATAGCGATTGCTGTATGAGTTGTACGATTTTTGAATCAAGCACGGGCAACACCGGGCCATGCTGTTAATTATAAATAAATAGGCCTTCCGCAAAACAGCAAGGACTCACACCAAAAGTACCAAATATTCCAGAGAAAAATTGGTACACGATACTCGGTATAGCTCTGGTATTATATAAGATTTTTCCTTTCCTTAGAGGGATACCTAAACAAAAGCTCAGGTTTAAATCATTACTACTTCCCCGAGCGCATATATATATACATACACATATATATATATATATATATATATATATATATATATATATATATATATGTATGTATGTCTATATATGTTTCTAAAATGGAAGCTAACCATGTTTCAAAAATGGAATATAAAATATTCGAATTTATATATATATATATATATATATATATATATATATGTGTGTGTGTGTGTGTGTGTGTGTGTGTGTGTGTTTGTGTATGTACATACTCGTTGAATTACTTAATTATAATTATCTCAAATCCTCCAAATAATTTCTATCATTTGCATATCCCTGCTTGAACCGGCTTCTAATGCTCTGGATGGAGCGGCTTGGGGATCGTGCGGCTTGGGGCTCGTCCTATGGGTAAGGGAAACTCAGATGATTTTCACCAGGGAATATGTGATGAAGCGACGCTATATCGAGTCTAATTTGCTACCTCTTCATCGCCGAGGCCCTTTGGTACAGTTGGTATAACCTTTGATAACATAATTGTCCGGTTTTCACTTCTCGGTTGTGGATGCGAACTGCTGATGAGTCCCAAATATAGGACGAAACGGCCGTCCAGTGCATTCTGTTGAGGTTTCTTCTAGACTCGATGAATTATATATATATATATATATATATATATATATAATGACGATTGGAAAAACATTCCTGAAAGTATAATGTTTCGAAAAGAACATCTGTTAATGCATTTCGCCCATTTTGAGCTACGCCAGATTGAAGACGAAAATGTGAATTGCGTGTGCATGCATTTGTGTGTTTAATTAATTTAATGAGATTGTATATTTTTCCCAATCTGGCGTTAATCGTGACTTCAAAAAATAAAGAAAATGAGTGACTTATTTGAAAAAAAAAAAAGTTCTCTACTTGTCGGAGTTTAGAGGTAGAAATCCATCGGAATGAGAAGAAAATAAATGAAAGTTCCCGACACGCAAGCCGCTTCTGGCCCGCTGGTGGAGCGCCAATCGCAGCGCCAGCGGTCCTCTGGTAATGTAACATTGGTCCGAGACAAACGCGCCGAGAGAAATGCGCCGGCGACCCGAAAGCAGCCCACTACTGGTAAACGCTAGTGGTTTTGCTAACCCAGTGGAAGATTTGTGGCTTGCGTGTAGGGAATTATATTTTTATCAATGTGTTCTCCATGTCGAAAATATGTTATTTACGCACATTTTACAACATTTAACAATTTGTGATATATATATATATATATATATATATATATATATATATATATATATATATATATATATACGCATATACGCAGTTATGTATACTTATAGCGTACTTGCTTGTGTCTGAATGTGTGTTTTTTCTCATCTCTGGTAGAAAGAATGTGCGGCAACGGATACATTTTCGCGTTTATGAGCAAGTCTGTCAATGCTTGTGTGTGTGTGTGTGTGCGTGTTTACTCGTCTCTGGACATACAGCAAGCGCGGCGGTATGTGCGCATACGCGTGCTGCAAGGTGGGAGAGTGAATAAATATCGTGCGCTCCTGTCTCGTCTTCCTGACGTCTTGCTATCCTAAGGGCCGAGGTGATCTATAGATTTCCAGCAGATGTGCTCTGATGAAATGATAAACGCAGAGATAGCAAGTAAAAAACATATATATA